CAGAGCGACACTTTTTTCTGCCAGATTCTTCCGTTTCATGCAAAAACGCGTCGAATGAGCCTAATTTTATCGAAATCGGAGGTGAGGGAGGTATTCTGAATAATTACCAAAATATTTTCGCATTTTTTCAAATTTACTTTTTTCCTCTTCAAAACTTATTTCATTTTCTTTAGATATCATAAAGCGTATAATGGCTCTGCTTTTAGCGGACTCAATAGTTGAATGAGCGCTTGCTGTTGTATTCTTTTAGATCATTCAATCAGCATTGTAGATCTGGAAGAATACATCAATAGCAGCGAGTGCTCATTCAATTGTTGAATCCACTGAACGCAGCCACTGTATCCTTTATCCTTATTTAACCTAACGTTCGATGAACAAGAATAGTGATATATCACGCGTTTTACACAGAACGTAACCTTTAAGTGCAGAAAGTGCAACATAGTGCAGCTATAACAAGAGAGGCCTATCTTTAGCTGAACTGCTTGAATTTTGTGCGCTGTTTGGCGAGAGAGTGAGATGAAAAAGTTTTAGTGCAATTGAGTGCAACGACAAACACGTTTATCGTAAATTGTTGTGTGTCAAGTTTCAACATGAAACGTGTACATTCATTGACGGCATGTGAATGTGAACCAGTAAAGAAACGAAAAAGGAAAAGAGAAATAAACGTAGGCCATGACATCACTCTCGTCTCGTGATATCTTTCGATCGTAAAATTATTTATACTGTTTTTTTAAATTCTAGACAAACAAGTATGTATCTTGTGATCCAGCATCAATACCAGCGGAAATCGATGTGCAATCTAATGATAAAGGTTCCTACACAAAGATACAATCTGCTCTTACGTCGAGTTCGGATGATGAAGATAGCATAAAGATGATGCAAAGGAAAAAAAGAAGGAAGCAGTTCAAAAGGTTAAATAAAATTATTCCGAGAGAGATAGCCAATGATTATAGGTTAAGGAAATATTACTTCAAACGATTTGGTCTCTTCAGCAGATATGAAGATGGAATTAAGTTAGATCGAGGTATGTATATGTATCTCTTTGTATGTTTTTTAAAATGATAGATTTATTTATATATATAATATATATTTTATATATATATATATATAATATATAAAATGATAATCTATTTTTTTAGAGAGTTGGTTTTCTGTAACACCAGAGGAAATAGCAAAGGATATAGCAGAAAGATGTAGATGCGATACAATTATTGATGCATTTTGTGGCGCAGGCAGCAATGCCATTCAATTTGCATTTACATGTGAAAGAGGTATATTTATCTATATAAAACTTTATCTATGTTAGACAAAAATATATTTACTGATTATATTTTACAGTAATTGCCATAGACATCGATCCTAATAAAATTAAGATCGCTCGGCATAATGCAGGAATTTATGGCGTAGACGATAGGATAGAATTTATTACTGGAGATTTCCTGCAATTAGCACCACAGTTGGTTGCAGATGTCGTGTTTTTGAGTCCGCCATGGGGCGGTCCTGATTATATAAAGAGAAAAGTATTTGATCTCGAAAGTATTATGCCTCCCATTGGCGGAAAAAGTATATTTGAAGCAGCAAGAAGAATCACTCAACATGTGGCCTATTATCTTCCTAGAAATTCAGATCCTCTGGAGGTAAACAATATGTTTGCAATAATGTAATAATTAAATAATTTAATTGAAATTTTACCATATTAACTTAATATTTGTGTGTCTAAAAACAGATGTATATAATTACAGATTATAATGTTAACTGAAAGATATGACAAAGTGGAAATTCAACAAAACATGTTCAATGGGAAGTTTACTGCTTGTACAGCTTACTATGGTGAATTGGCCAGGACGTAATTTAAGTGATGAAATAAGAAATATTTTAGTTCACATTTTTTCAATTACTTCGATTCGCTTATCAGAACCAAAATCGTGATTTCTTTTCAGTTAAAGTATTTTAACTCGACTTTGTGAGAACTGGAAATGTACTATATACTTGGAAGGATAATGTAATTTATATTTTACAACTTCCAAATTTTATTAACTTACATTTTTTATGTACGTTCTTCCATATATACAATTTTAATTTTAATAAATATATCTCTAAGAAAGTATGATATATTTAAAATTTTTTATTACTTAAGATTTCACGAAATTTTTTAATGAAACAGTGTGAAAATTACATAATTTTTATTTGTAATGGAAAAATGTATTTACAATGTTCATGTGAAATGAAACAAAAAAAACCGAATATGGCAAAATAAAGTTTTTGAAATAGGAAAATAATGGATCTGAAATAATTTTAATATACCATACATTATCAAATAAAAAATAAGCAAGTTGTAATTTGATTAATAAGAATAATTAAAAATGGAAATCGTAAAAAATAGTAAAAAATTTTCGAAATTCTGTAACACAATTTATTTTTAATTTAATTTTTAAAAAATTATAGTTATTAAAAACATTTTCGAATTTAAATCAGAATTAATTCTATAATATACGTTTCCACACATCAGAAAAAAATTAGTAACACTGATTAGTTTTTTTTTTATTTGTTTGTTATAATGTGTAATATTGTGTCACTTGCTTAATTGGAGGACATTTCATTCGGCATTAATTACTATTTTATATATTGTAAATTTCACGAATCAATATCGATATTTGTCACATTTGTTTCTTCAATATCACTAGTTGCCATGTTTGTCTCTTCAATATCGATTGTTCTAATACTTCTTTCTTCAGGTTCTGCAGGTATCGTTATACCACCAGTGTCTATATTTTCTTCTTCTTCTCTAGGAATTTTTAAGAAGCAATGCATTGTCTCGTCATCCTCTTGCTCAATAGAATCATTTTTGTTTAAACTTTCTCTTGTTGATAATGAACCTTGAAGATGTTTCGATGGTATTTGTATCGTGATGGTTTGGGAAGTGCCATCAGCAGATGTTGAGGAAGACATCAAATTAGCTTCTAATGTATCTCCATCTTTCGAAAAGGCACCTAAACAGCTATAAACTAATTGCGCTGCCGCAATGTTACCGGGAAAGACTTCGACATTCTCGCTATCTGCATGTAAAAAAAGCAATAAAGAAGTTTAAATAAAGATATCTACTAAATAAGAATTGCAAGCAGTTCAACAAATTTTAATGTTACCTTTTTTCTGCACATTAGATTTTATTAAACCTTTTTCATGGTCACCTAAGTGCTGGATGTAACTTTCATTTTTCACCGTTTTAAAAGGACACAGATCGCATGTAAATAAGCCAGACAGCAAAGGATGCCTCGATTTTAAATGATTTTTATAACTGCTGCTCTGTATCGCGCTATATGAGCAATGTGGACATTTATACGGTCGAAATCCTGTGGTAAGAAATTTAGTTACTCTATAATAATTAATTTTGGATATAATATAACTCACCTGTGTGTTGCATAATATGCCGTCGTAAGGTATTGTGATCTCCAGTTTTGTAATCGCAAATCTCGCAACTGAAAGGTTTATCTCCTGTATGTTGACGCAAATGCATTTGTAACATTGCCTTTCTGGCACTAGCATGACCGCAAACGTTACATACATATGGACGTAACTTGGAATGAACAGCTTGAATGTGATTCTTTAAACATTTTGAATTCGCATACGTTTTACCGCACATGTCACATGTCTTAGAAGTATACCATCGAGTTACTTCTAATGTTTTGCGATCTAAATGCATTATGCGATGATTACGTAACTGGCTAGCTTGTTTGAAACATTTCTCGCAATCGGGACATTTGTAATCACGAGTGTCACTGTGTACCCTCATGTGCGTCAAGAGTTTTACCATGGTAGCACTTTTGTAGACTTTACAAATTTTGCAGGTAAACAAGCCTATGTCTACATAAAAGAGAGTACATAAAAATGTGAATTTTTTAACTTTTTCTTATATTATTTATCTTATATTTACAAACCAATTTGGTGCTTCTTCCATAAATGCAAGTTACATTGGCGCCACTTCGTAAACTTCATATCTCGACATATGGTGCATTTAAATGTTGTTGCAGTTTCAGATTCTGTATGGTAAAGAATATGTTGCTGCATAATTTCTTCCGAGGCGAATTTGTATTGACAGCCCTGATAAGAACACCTTGCAAAAATTGCATGTTTAAACATAACAAATAAAAGATTTCTTCTACATAATACATATTTTTTGGAAAATTACATACTTGACATTTCTTTCTGCTGACTCTATCATTTTCCTATTACGCATATATTCTAAATTTAAGGTCTTCGAAATTTTTACTGGATCTTTTTCCGCTTCAATGTTTTCGATATGTTGAGCCTCATGTTCAGTTACCAAGCCAGGATTCGTTAGGTCTGTCAAATTTTCTTTTCCAGCCTCATCACTCGCAATGTCTGTTAATTGATGATCCTAGAAGAAATTTCTATCATATCGTCCAGATAAAAGTAGCCTACCTTTCAAAAATTAAAATTTAAGATGATTACATTAATCATGTGTTCTTTACAGTCCTCAAAAGAATGGAAGCAGTTGGAACACTCCGCACACATATAAACTATTTTTACTTCATCCATTTTAGATTCTTCCTTTGGCTATATATAATAATAAAAGTAAGCCAATTTTTATATTGCATTATAAGCTTCTGCTAAGCAAAATACAGTTACTTTTGATTAAAATTGTGTGAACTACAGTTGGCGTCTAGAGATCTACTTACTGTAATATCTATAGTAGAATTTAAATGTAGTTTCTGAATGTGATCTAATAATTGCGTCTTGTCCTGAGACAGGTAAGTACACATCTTGCATTTAAAAGCAGTCACAATTTCTAAGAAATCATCGACGTTAACATTGTTATCTTGCCCAACGAGATCTTTCACTGCTTCCTCTGTAGCGACTTCGTATTGCTCCTCAGATTGTCTGTATGGATTTTCGATTACTATATTCTCATTCTTGATATAATCATTTTCGTTATTTTCCATATTCTTTGACATCAAGAATGCCTTTTCGTTGTAACTCGTTTGTTCTACAGATTGTAGGTTGGTACCCACCTCTTCAATCACTCCATTTTTAATTGCATATACCTGTCCATTCAAACACACTAATGAAATCGGTTCTTCTCCATTGTCCAATTCACTTCCCTTAGCAATATCAACTGTAGTTTGTTCTTCACTCACTGCCGAATTCTTCATAATGTCTGTCGGTGATGGTGCAAGTTTATAAATATATCTTGTACCATTTATGTCATAGCTTAAGTAGGATATGTCATTCATTTCTTCACTCATTGCTGATGAAGAATCATAGAATAATCTGATTGAGTGTCAACACAAACGTTCCAAGATGTTTACACAATTAACTTAACTAGAATGTTACTCGCAACACAATTTCCATCCATGAATCACTTTAGCTAAAATCTGTCATAATATCCTTTTTTCTTGTTTAAAAAAAAAATTCCAATTTTATGTTACATCTTATATAAACTCTGTTATATAAACAGATTAATATTATGATCCAATTTGTTTAAACAGTCCTTATCGAGACGATGAGTGCGATAAATTACACGGATTGGTTTCAATATTCGCTAATTATATCCATCGCGAAATACGCGTAAACATCCAAATGTATGTACATATATGTGCATGCAACATCAGTACGGAACGATGAGGTTATCTCTACGAACTTTAGACATTATTCGAGACACGCCTCCGTCTCCGCGGAGACAAATCGGGCACCACTCGCGATGAAGTTAAAGCGAGGAGAACGAGGAGATGCATTCGCGAAGAAATTTGAATTCTGTTCGAATTCAAAATCGTGTCTCACTTAACACCTCGTACACGGCGTCTGGTTCGAGATTTCCGGCTACGGTGATTATGCTAGCGCGCGGGAACTGCGGGAAGTGACAAGAAAATCACCGGTGAGGTAACACGCAAAAACGCGGATTTAGTGGCGAGAGTCTCTCTCGTTCTGCCTGGAGCGGAAGTTGTCTTGCATCACTTTACATATGATAGGGATAAGCAGGGGGCCATAGGTCTGTTCTTTTCAGTTAAAGTTCTTGTTCTTGCATGGTTCATCTTTCTTTCTTTTCTCTTCACGTTAGAGAAATAAAAAGGAAAAGTGAACCTTGCAAGTTTAGCTAAAAAGAAAGCCTAATGTGAACACATAAGCGTATTCAGGGTGCTTCTTTAATATTTGACAATTTGCAATCACAGATCTGCCATGGGTACGTAAAAAAAAACTATAGTTTATGTGACGTGAACTATAGATTTTCAGTACTGACAGTAAATTTGGAACACGTATGATAACATTTTGGAACGCACTCCATATCCTCGATTGTGGAATGTGCCGAATTTCGAGGTAGAATTATGGTAAAATTAAACATACATATATTAATTAACAGCTTAAGTCTATTTGATAACATTATGATATTTGTATATATTGTACATTTGGAGTAGTTTATACAATTTAATAACAATTTTCTATATGCGTATATTATATGTATAATTACAGAGATACTACACAATTATAATTATAATTTCTCAGAATAAAAAAAATATAAAACTGATATATTTTAAGGACTTGCTGTATTTTGTCTAGGATGTTTGGGAGTTCTCTCTGCATTTTGTCTAGCAATTTCAGGAAAGAATTGCGAGTTATATTTTTGTTTTATAGCAGGTTTAGGAGTTTCTGGTGCTACAACAGGCATTGGTTCACCCCTCACTTTGGCCAACAGTGCTTCAGTTCTTAGCTTTTCACTTTGTTCTCTGAGTAATCTCTCTGCTCTTAATTTTTCTATATTTGTACTACTCTGACTTCTATCCTCTTTCTTTTCTGAATGTTTATGTTTTTTCTTCTTATGTTTTTTATCTTTATATCTTTTGTGTATACTGTCCCTTTCATCATTCGAATGAGAACTATCAGAATCACAATGCTTTCTTTTAATGCTCTCTGTTTTTACTTTTGAATGATCTTCAGATTTAGAATCCATAATCTTGAGATACTTCTTTATATCAATCATTGGATCGTTTAAGATTTTCTTCTTTATTTCTATCTCTACGTCTTTCTCTGTATCCGTTAATCTCTTTGGTAATTCTTCGTACCAATTTTTTTTCCCCGTTGCTTCGTTGGTATCTTGTCCCAGATACGTCAAATATCCAATCTGTTTTTCATATTTCTCTTTCTCTTCCTTCTTTTCCTTCTCATGTTCTGCATTAGGTCTACTGTAATCAATTTTTCCATCTTCAAGCTCAGCAAAAAAGTTGACATGTTCTAACTTCTTGCTAGTAGAACCTTCAGTTGTTGACCGACCATCGTACGTGGATCTTGCTCGGTGTCTTAACAAATCTACTCTTGCTTCTGTTTCCTAATGAAAGATAAAAGAACTTTGTAAAAATTAAGTCTATACCCCCTAAAAACATCAAAAAATAATTTTTGATAGTAAAATACGAGATCTACGTAATCAAAACTTTCGAAAACAATTTATCACGTACTGCTTTCTGAATTCGTTCTTTCTTAATCCTCTCTTCTTCTGCAGCTTTCGCTTCGTCTCTCCGTACACGAGCGATATTCTCCTTCGTTCGTACATGCCACCTGAAAATGAACACAAAACAATCAGTTTCAAGATATATACAAATTGAATGCATCTGTCTTACCTTTTCTTCGGTAAAATATTCATTGTCAGCGAATCTCTCAATATAACAAAATCAGATTGTCAGGCTAATTGCTTAATGCTCCAATTGCTCTTCGGATGATCCAATAGAGGATTTAACGAATGTAAACAGACTTTCACAAATGCATTAAACCAAGGCTGCGTTCGAAAACATCATCCGGGTTTCTCCGTGTATCATCTTATCCTTGTTTAACACTGAGTGAACAACAAAGATAATACGATACGCGGGAGCACTCGGGTGATGTTTCCGAACGCAGCCCAAGATCTGCGACAAGATCTCCCTGCGATTTTCTGATTGGATACAATTTCTGGACATGTAGATCAGATTTTATCTCTTGCAGTTGGCAGCTCGTATTGCGATTTGCGCCGAACACATCAGACACATTTGCTGTAATCGGAATCGAGCACACTGTGCGCGAAGAATTTTTTTATTTACATTTCTGTTAAAGAGTAAGTGTATATGCGTTTTTATATTTCTTGTTCGTGACATAATTTGTGTTTTCATTGAAATTTGCCACGAAAAGTGCTACTATTTGATTCCTGCATATGATGTATGTGTTTACTTTGATCTAACCGGCATAATAGAAGATACTATTCATGTTTAATTAAACATGAACAGTCAAAGAAAGTTAAAATTATTTACCATTGTGTACAGAAAATTGAGAAAATTGTGTAGTTTAAAATACGAAACGGAGAAAGTATAAAAGGTGTTATAACCTCAAAGTAAGGTTGAAGGCACTCATTGCTCATCAATCAAGTAGAAACCACTAAAAAAAAAAACGATATTATTCATGTATAAAAATTGATATTTTAATATATTTCTGAAGGATTGTGTTACAAATACTTTATTTTTATGAATAACAAAATAACATATATGTATTTAACATTTTTTAAATAGATTACAGATTTTACATCATGGCTGCGACAATGCCAATAAATCCCAAGCCATTCCTAAACGGTTTGACAGGAAAACCGGTCATGGTGAAGTTAAAATGGGGCCACGAATATAAAGGTTACCTCGTCTCAGTTGACGGATACATGAATTTGCAGCTTGCAAATACTGAAGAACACATAGAGGGCAATTGTACTGGAAACCTCGGAGAAGTGCTAATCAGGTGTAATAATGTTATGTACATAAGAGGGGTAGAAGAATCAGATGAAGAAGGCGAGATGAAGGACTGAAGTGATGAAAATCTAAAACTTTAATTTTTATTATAACCCCTTGTATTATTAAGAACTAATTTAATTCAACTAATAAAATAAAATCATTTTATTTCTTATGAAGTTGTATACATGTGTGTAAGCGCAAGTAGTATTACGAACCTGTTTTAACATGATTTTGGTACATTGGTTACAATAGGCTTTGGTCTTGACTTAAACAAGAGTTTCTTTCTCACAATAGCTTTCACAAGGTACTCTGTTTTTGTTGAAGTTTCATCCATTGTCTCATTTCTCATATCATGATGTTTCTCCAATACAAGCAGTGGCTTATCAAGTGTTACCTCTTTTCCATATAACACATGAATTCCGATAATTAATATAGGTACTCCAGTTTTCGTGAAGTGAAGATCGCCGATTAATTGATCGCCTGGATTATCGATCATTTCGAATTTTAAATCGCCTTGGAGATCTATAATAGCCCAAGTTTCTATGTTTCCGTCTCTAAAAAAAAAACCAATAAAATTTATTTGATATTCAAAAAAAGTTTATTCAATTTTTATAATAAATAAAATATTACTGATGTAAAAGGAATAGTTTACCTTTTGATCGGCACGATCATCTTTGTTAGGTTAAGCACTAAAATGGCGCCAAAAATTACGTTCGTAAATTTAAGGTCTGTTTTCTGTGGCTGAACTAGGTCCGATTCACGCTCGCACGCTTAAAAATCATTTCATCCTTGTTTGTCAAATGTTAAACGAAGACAAACGATGCTCATGAGCGTGACAGCATGAATCGGACCATGATCTTAGTGTACACTTTTAGAACTTAAAGTGAGATAGGATATATGTTTGATATTTGTCGAAAGCGAGAAAGAATTCTAGTACAGGAACAGAATACAGACTCTTCATGGAGTGGAACATAAGTATTCCCTAGGAGCTAGTGAGAAGTTGCATTGGAAATCAGTAAGTTCTAGGGCGCGGAGAGACTGTGAGATTGCCTTCGACATTTTTATGCATTTGAAAATCCAATGTGAACGAAAACGTTGCAATTTTTCTTAAATATACATATTCTTTTCCAGTTGTATTATTTTTCTGTATATTTTTGTATTTGTTACAAATCTATGAAAAAATATGATTGTATAATTATAATTATGACAATTATAAATAATGATTTTGTTGATTTGATTTTTTCAATGTAATGATATAATAAATATATGTATATTATTATCCATACAAAACTAAATTATAAATGCCAAAATCTAAAATAAAATTTCTAATAAATAATTTTGAATAATTTTATCGAATTTGTAAAATTGGTATTATAATCGCAAATTAATTATAATTAAAAGAAAGAGACTTTACAGAATATTAAATTGCACTTGTAAAAAATTTGTGAAAATACTTGACGGATACAAGGATAAACATAATATAAATAGGAAAATTTAATCATATAAATAGATTGTACTTCAATTTGATATCACGCATATTTGTATTTCTATTTTATTTTCATTCTCTTCTCTTCACACTGAAGTAATTAAGTACATTGGACGTAAATCACAGCACATCTCCGTTTGAATAAACA